AATGCTGAAGTTTTGTGTGATTGCCTTTGCTACTTTAGCCCTGTATGCTGAAGTTATGCGAAAAAGCGGGTACGCTTAGAATTTTTTTTGCAAAGTGGGCACAAGTTAAAACGTGACACAAAAAGCGGGTATAGATGCAAATGCCCCCTATTTGGTCACCCCCATTTAACCTATACCTATTTTTTTTAAAACTTTTAACTTGTACCCACTTTTTAAATAACTTCAGCCCCTTTCTTCTCCTCCTTCTCCTCCTTTGTTTTCTTCTTCTTTCTTCTGCTTCTATTGGTGCAGATTATTTCTTCTTCGTTTTGTCTCAATTAATATTCTTTTATGTAAGCATAGTTATGGATTTAACTTAACTGTTTGTTCAGATTTTTCATGAAGTGGAACGAGTCATCTATTGAGCTCAAAAATGGCAACCTGTGATGAAGTAGAATGGAGTAACATATTTGAAGGGAAGATATACGTACACAAACACAACTATGACAAGTAGGCCAAGTAATTTGTAGCAACTTTTCGCCTAAACAAAGAACCACCATAATTAAGGATAAATGACAAATTAACTACTCTCATCTTGCTACAAAAAGTACAAAGAGTAATCCATATGAAATCACCAGTGATTATAGCTGTCTTTACTAAGTACAGGAAAAACAGTCAAGTGATTAAAAAAATTCCGACTCCAGAAGAGGAGAGCCAAATAAAATATTAGTACAAACAAAAACTTCAGCTCTAGAGCTGAAGTTCGACAGTTACAAAACAAAAACTTCAGCTCTAGAGCTGAAGTTTGACAGTTACAAAACAAAAACTTCAGCTCTAGAGCTGAAGTTCGACAGTTACAAAACAAAAACTTCATCTCTAGAGCTGAAGCTTACAAACAAAAAGCCAGTTACAAACAAAAACATCAGCTCTAGAGCTAAAGTTTGACAGATACAAAACAAAAACTTCAGCTCTAGAGCTGAAACTTACAAACAAAAAGTCAGTTACAAACAAAAACTTCAGCTCTAGAGCTGAAGTTTGACAGTTACAAAACAAAAACTTCAGCTCTAGAGCTGAAGCTTACAAACAAAAACTTCAGCCCTAGAGCTGAAGTTCGCGAGTTACAAACAAAAACTTCAGCTCAAGAGCTGAAGTTCGACAGTTAAAAAATAAAAACTTCAGCTCTAGAGTTGAACTTCAGGCCCGACTACTAAAACGCTGAAGTTTTGCGTGATTGTCTTTGCTACTTCAGCCCCGTATGCTGAAGTTATGCAAAAAAGCGGGCACGCTTGCATTTTTTTTGCAAAGCGAGCACAAGTTAAAATGTGACACAAAAAGCGGGTATAGATGCAAATGCCCCAACTGTAAGTTGAAGATAGAATTGAATGGCCCCAAAACATGGGCCTTTAAGTTCCCTCGCACTTTGCAAGCCTGTAATGGGTCATTTTTATTTGAAGAATTGACCTAAATATATACTCATAATCGCTTAAACTAAAAATAGCTAGGAGATGTATGATATGTGTATAACCTATACATATAAATATGTATATAATCTTGTATAATTATTATATAATTTATGTCGCGGTTAAGAAAAGTAAACAATAAATTCAGGCGGCTATTTGTTTAAAAATCTTTTTTATTTGGTAATTCGGCAAGACCAGTCAAATTTGATCTTCATTTCTTCTCCTTTTTTTTTTTGCTTTTCTTTTCCACATTTTAAAAAATACCTTGCGCTGAGGTCTACTAAATCAGTGTGGTTGTCATGTTGGTTTCACTTTAGCTATAACTTTCTTGTAGTTTCAAATATGCTTGGCTTATTGGATATCAGTACTTTTGGGTTGAATGTTCTCTTTCACTTCTAATTTGCATAAATAACCAAGTAGAAGTGAGATAAAGAACATATTTTTGAGCTGCTCACAATATAAAGGAGACTAGGATTTATAATAATAAGTTAAACAAACATCAGAAACTGCATTTTCAGTTATTTGTACCACTAGTGGATATAATTTGTCCCCTATTCCATTATGTGTTCAATTCAGGGGCGGATCTACGTGTAAGGGACGGGGTGGTACGCCACCCGCAAGCTTTGACCGAGACTATGCAATAGTATATATACATACATGTATATATAGAAGGAATGTATACAAATAGTTTAAGTTGCACCCTTAGTAACAAAATGGCTCAAGGTGCCACTGGTAAGGCACTGACATTTTCACACCAACGGTGGGGGTTCGAATTTGGCATAGCCTTTGTTTTAAAAACTTTTGTTTGGTGCATTTAAGACCATTACATGATGATCCTTTGTCTCTTCTTTCTCTTTACTTAATTGCTCTTTTTTGTTTATTAGTAGGTCCTACTGACTTTTTCTTTGAACTTATTAATTTATTTTGATTTTTTTCTCTCCTTTTTTCCCTTAAACATTTAACAGAAAATATAAGAAAAAAATTATTTCACAAATCTATTCAAAGAAATCCCCCTTGTTGCACTTTACTAATTCCTCCGTGATTTATCAATAGATAATAAAAAATTAATTGTTTTCTCCAGGATTTATTTTGTTGTCAGATTTCTCTAAAGTAGGGCAATTGTATATAATATCTAGTGAATTAATTTTCATAAAAAATATAAATTGAAAAATATCTGTAGACTTACTTAATCTTTAGAGTGCGTATTAGTATAAGTTTTTGCCTTAAGTAGCTAAAATGATAACGAGCCTTTTTTCTTGTACAAAATTCATAATCCAGTTGAATTTTTATACTTGTTTTCCATGTTATCATAATTATTACGTAATCTTTTTGCTCGATCGATTTGTTTATATTAACTCCAAAGACGAATAATCCGAACCGAAATCCAAATAGACCGAACCGATTAAATTTATACCCTATTTAGTAAATTGTAATATGACTACGTTCAAAAATTTTGACACCCGGAGCCTCTAAATTCTGGATCCGCCTCTGGTTCAATTGAAAGCGTTTTCAATTGCTACAAAACGACTTGCTGGATAAGTGAAGTTTCTTTGACTAAAAATGTACTACATGTTCATTTTTAGTTGTCCACTTTTGATTTTATACTGTCTTTTTAAAAAAAAAAATGAAGTAAGTATTTTACAATTTTATCCATAATAATGATAACATTTCAAAAAGCCTTGGGAGATGATTTGGGGAATGCTTAGTTAATGATAAAGGTCAAACAGAAAAAAAAATATTTTTCTCTTGATTTGCTGAAATAGACAAGTTCAAGTGAAATTGTATTTTTAGTATAGTGTACAAGTAAAGTGAACGGAGGGAGTAGTATATAAGTATAAATGATACTGTTCAGCTTTACTCATTTAATTAGATCTTAATGATACTTCCTCTGATCCATAATAAGTGATTTTTTGGACTTTTTCTTGTAGTCCAAAATATTTGATTTTTTTTTCAGATTTCAAGAATGAATTAATTATTTTTTTCCTACATTGACCTTGGAGTAAATAGTGTTAGAATATGTGTTAGGAGTGTTTATTTGAGAAGATAGTAAAAGTCAATATATATGGTCAATTTCCTTGGTAATTAATGTTAAAAGATGAATTTCTTAATTTGTGTGAAAACAGTCAAAAAATTACTTATTATGGACCGGAAGGAATACTGTTTCAACTTTACTCATTTAATTATCTTTGGCATTCGTGTGTTTCCCTGCTAGACGAAAAAAATGTGGAATTCAAGTACCTTATCTGGAAGTTGAAGAATAATTATATTAAAAAAAAAAGTTTACACTTATTGTTTTTCTTTCATATTGTGCCAAGTTTCAGAAATCAAATGGTCTATACATGGCCACATGTTGAGTGGGTTTATTGGCTTTATATTGTGTTTCTCTTCCTTAATTTATCTGCAGGTACGGAAAGAAGATTGGATGAGTGCCTTAACTTTTGGAAGCCAAGTGAATCAGAGGGTCCAATATTTTTCTAGTATATATGTCTATTTTGCTACTAGCAAACTTCATAATTAAAAAAATAAAGAAAAGGAAAGTTGAAAAGAAAGATTTGATTTGTGGAATCTAAGAGTTATTCAATAATTGAGCACTACTAAAAAACTCAATTTTCTTTCTTATTGGATGAGTCCCTTTCGCTTTTGAAGTACTTTACTTTAGGTTTATAAAATTCTAAAAACTTTGTTAATGCAAACCTAATTTTCGTGCAAAAATTGCAGACCACAATATTTAAACCTATAATTGCTTTGCGAAAATAACCATAAACCAAATTGCTGTTATGTGCATGCACACTTCTTTTCTATTCTCATCTTCCCTCCCAAGTGGAAGTGTCTACGTTTGTAAGGGTTAATTGCACAGAATGTCACTCAATCTGTAATACAATTATAGGAAATTGATTAAACTAATTTTTCTAATGAGCAAGCATTTAGGCACAAGGCATAAGTTCAACAATATTATTATACTCCTAGTCCTGGTTATTAGCGCATAAATCTGGATCTCGGGAGGGTAAATGCTTGTGTCATCAAAATTGAGCAACAAAAGGCTAATATTTGAAAAAAGACTGAAGTAGCATCGATTCCTAAAATTGTTAAATATTTTATTATTGTGAACATTCACAACAAGCCCGTCTAGCTCAGTTGGTAGAGCGCAAGGCTCTTAACCTTGTGGTCGTGGGTTCGAGCCCCACGGTGGGCGTTTACAGTTTTTTACACTTTTTTTGCCACACAGGCCAGTGTATGCTGATTTTCTTCATTCCATTACAAGGTTACACTTAAGGCTTGCGAGGAATTAAAAAGAAGAAAGAGATTAAAGAACGTAAAGGAAAAAAGTTTAGACTTTGACACTTATGCACAAACACAATTTGAATAGGGGAAGAGATCGGAGCTTAACCTGATTTCTCATGCGAGCTGTGGCCTAGTCACACATGCAAAAACAATTATATAATATATATATATATATAATTTTTATTTTATAGAAGAGCGCAGAAACAGCTCACCGTCGACATCCCTGCTTAGCCACAAGGGTATTTAAGTATTTTCACATACCTTCTGTGCTCCCTTGCGCTTACACGTGCGCTGAACATTGCTGAGTAAGCTGCATATGAGATGAGAATGCATCTACAGATACTTCTCCTTCTTTTCCATGGAATTTCATCTGGCTTTACTCTGCTCCATCATCTGTTCCGCCGACCTTCTGCTATCTCAGATACCTATCGACTTCTATCCGCGGGTTTTTGTTTTGTCAACATCAGTATTTTTACCGAGGTCTGTATTCTCCTTCAGTTTTCGATTCTCTTCGCAAGTTATTTTTTGCTCAATAATAATACTTTTGCTGAGATTTTCACTGTACTTCCTTTTCGTTTGCTTTGCTTCTTCCTTTGTCAATGGTATTTAGTTAAAATTTTGATTACAAAGGGTGTCCATCTGGCTAATTTGTGATGCTAATAATATCATGTTTTCTTCATTAATGGTATCTTGAGTTTATATTGGTAGCAGTGAATTTTTTTTTAAAGATTGTTCGAACTCTATCTAAGTTATTCCACCGATAAGAAGCTAATTTTTTTTACATTTTCGAGGAAATAGCACACCAGGAGAAAATTCATTAGAACAACTCTCGAATTAGGTTTTCCATTGTTTGGTTACCTTCTGGTAATGACTCCAGCGGAAAAATAAATGATAAAACACGGCTTATTAATAGTGAAGGGAGAGGGAAACAGATAGATCTACTTTGATTAAAGGTGAAGGGATGGCGAGATGACCTGATCAGCAGGTGGGCTTGATCAGGTGGCCTTGAAACCTCAAAGCATAACCAAAGATTTGAAGATTATAGGTNAATACTACGAGGAGACAAATCATGAAGGAATTACAAATACACATAATTAAGCACTAGAACATGACTTTCTAGCAGGAAGTATTAATTTCTGAGTGCTATCAGAAACAGAATGCTTTTTAAAGCAATTAGTTCCAGGTTTCATTTTATAGCTTCCTTATGCCCATTTTTTGAACTTTTGTATTAATTTTCTCCTTTTGGAATGATCATTTGAATGACCTCCATTAATAGGGGACTTAAGCAGGTCCCACTGATGAACTCCTCCTCATGATTTAGTCATTTACTTATGGTACAAACTCTGTGACAATTTTTGTATATTCTTTTTCCAAATTCAATTCTTGATCTTGGTTTTTCTCTTGTTCTTTATTCCTCCTCATTAATTCATCCTTAAACATGCATTATACCACCTTAAGTATATTAGCTCTTTGTCTTCAGTAATAATCAGTGATATTCTTTAGTATTTAGTCGGGCAGAATATTAACTATTATAAACAAGTAACTAAATGTATTATATACCACAAATTATTTACATAAGAATAATCCTTAAAAATTACTATGCTTTTTTGGTTAGAGCAGAACATCTGATGAAATATTCTTATGTAGATCCTTTTAGATAAGCGTAAGAGCTAAGGTATGTGATAAACAATTGAGTATCTGAAATGGTTGTACTTTGAAAGTTATTCAGGACCTCTTTTGTATCATTCCAAGCAAATGGCTGCTAGTGTGAGGCAGATACAAACAAATTCTTTTAAGCTTTGCTTTGAACGCAATGTTAAAAAGATCGAAAAATTAGTCAAATCAAAATCAGATTCTAAAACTTTTATGTGAATTACTTTGCAAGTATCATTAAAAAAATTAATTGTATACATCATGTTGGGCCTATCATGAGTAGTTTTGCTGTTATTTTTCTTTTCCTTTTGGGAAGGGCCTTAGGGATTTCCTATTTGCTGATTCAATATGTTCAAGTGGATGTAGTTGGTGCTTCTTTTCCCCCCCTTAAAGTTACCGCTATTGACTTTCATGATTGTCGTTAGGCAAAGTTATATGATTTTAATCTTTAAAGTTTTCAATATTGAATCCTCTTTCTCGCTTACTACGAATGTTACGAGGGATTACGAAGTCTTTGTGGGTAGATATAGTTGAATGTATGATATAGGTACACCGACGCATAAGATCTGCTGACCAAAAAGTGATCTAAAGCTTCTCTCAATTGCATAGCTAAAGTTAAGATGAGTCTTTAGTAGAAATGATTGCCTCCTCAAAGTTAAAATAGGCTCTGAGCAGATTTGTTCAGAAGTGGAACGAACGTTTTTTCCTTTCATGTTATTTGCAGTATTTATTGATCTAATATTCTCTTTTTTGTTTAATGTGCAGTAGGTGTTATTTATAGTTGTATAAAGATGAAATTGCTTTCTCATCTATAATTTGGTTATGTAGGATAAACTATACATAAATATGTATCATTATCTTTTACTTAACTCGTGCTACTTACAACTACGTGCGCACAATTTATTTTCTACATGCACATTGTTTTGCATGCTTTTACCTGGATAAAAAGAACAAAAAATCAAGTCATTTTGTCTGTTACCCACTAAGTTTTCCTATTGTTTCTCTGTGTTATCCAGTTTTGGTGCCTTAATTGTGCAAAGTGTCTTTTCGTAATTGCATTCGGCATCAACTGCTCATTATTCAGGCTACATTGGTTCTAATATGATAAGAGGAACGGGGAAACTGCTTCTACAAATAGAATAACTTTGCTAGAACTTTATGTCTTATTAAAGTAGCTCTCAAGTTTATCTGTTTTAAAGATTGCCAAACTGCTGAAATTACAGATGCCGGCCGATAAAACAACCATAGCATCAACAAGCTGCTCATCTAAAAAGAAGCGTCAATACTCAACAGAAATAATATCTAAAATGAAGCTTCGGCGACGTGAGCTGTACAAACAACTATCATTTGATAAAAAAGAATCGCTTTTATCACAACGACGATCAAAAGAGTTTGAATCAAAAAGTCAATGCCTACTGCTTGATTCCACTAAAGAAGGGTCATCCTTCAAAGCTAAGGTTGACTTGCATTGGAAAAGAACTCTTACAATACGCGGGCCATGTTCTTTTACTGAGACAGGTAGGAAACCAAAAAGATATAATTTTTATATGATACAGACTAAGTACAAAGACACAGTTATACGTTCACATAGTCTTTGTATATACAAATATATGAATGCAAATACGTGTTCTTTTTCATGACACTACATAGATATCATTTTCTAACGCTTTATATGTTTTGATACTATATTAGCCGATATATCCTTAACTGCTGAGGCGGCTGCTGGGCCGACTGGTGGCTCTAGCAAAGGAAAGAATCTTACTGACCACTTTTCTGTGTTTGAGCTTGGTAATCCGAAGGAAATATCTTGTTTAAACTTGAATATACTCTTTTCTAATATATTAATTATAATTATTTGTATATTAGGTTCAACATTTGCTGCAACCCATGAAGGACATGATACACAAATATTGGCTATCCCAAACAAAGGTTCGTCTCAATTAAATCTTATACCAACACCCACTACTAATCTCTTCTCAACAGTAATGGTATCATTTTATAACGCTACTTAGATATCATTTTCTAACACTTTATATGTTTTATTACTATATTAGCCGATATATTTTCAGTTGCTGAGGCGGCTGCTGGATCGACTGGTGGCTCTGGCAAAGGAAAGAATCTTACTGACCACTTTTTCGTGTTTGAACTTGGTAAGTTGGAGAGAATATCTTGTTTAAATTTGAATATACTATCTTCTAATATGTTAATTATAATTATTTGTATATTAGGTTCAACATGTGGTGCACCCCATGAACGACATGATCCACAGGCATTGGCTATCCCAAACAAAGATTCGTCTTAACTAAATCTTATACCAACGCCCACTACTAATCTCTTCTCAACAGTAATGGTATAGTTGTTTTAACTAATATAAACAGGTTATAGATCAACAAGAATAGGTTTGGACATTAAACAACTGCCCAGTAGTGCAAGTATTTTAAAAACGGTACCAAACTGCAAATATTATGGTGCAAAAAAATTTGAATATGAGCCGCCAACATTTTGCTGTAGTAATGGTTCGGTTAAGTTGACATCACATGAAATGCCTACTGAATTGTTGAATCTCTATTTAGGAAGTACTGAAGAATCTGAACACTTTCGCACTTACCTTAGAATGTACAACAACATGTTTGTATTTACTTCACTTGGAGTGAAGTATGACAAAGTTCTAGCAAAAAGGAACCATGAAATTTACACATTTAAAGTACACGGGCAAATGTATCACTTCATAAATGATTTGATTCTGCCAAATCAACAACCATAAAATTTACAGTTGTATTTTTATGATGATAACACAGAAATATTGAATAGAATGGCTTCCTCGAGTATACTTAGACAGTCAGTTGTTGAGAAGCTAATGAATATATTAAAGATAAATCCTTATTGTATATTCTTGAAATCTCTGATACATATCCCAGATTTATCAAACCTTTATATTGCGTTGAAGTGTGGTCCTGGCTTAGATCAACGAGTATATAACCTGCCCAGTGTATCAGATGTAGCAACATTATGGCTAGAACAAGAAACAACCAATAATAGTTCTACACCGCATATTCGAATTCACACTCATAGTAACAAGAGCTAGTTAATAAATTATTATTATGGTTGCTATGATGCTTTGCAATACCCACTTTTATTTCCGTATGGTCAAAATGGATGGCACTGTGGTATCAAAAGATTACACAACCTGGACATAAACTGAGAAAAAAAGAGCTTACTATGAAAATGAACAACTTTCAAGTGTATCAAATATGTGTTCAATTGATGGACTACTTGAGATAGAAGCTGAAGTTCTACAAAAGGGTAAACGAAAAAGGGATACTGTTTCTTGTCGTGAATACTACTGTTACAAACTTCATATGAGAGATAACGAGGAAAACGGAGTTTTACATTCTGGTAGATTATTTCAATAATATTCAGTTAATGAATTCATAAAAGTAGAAACTCAATGGTTAGATTTTGCCTCATTTAATCAAGATTTATTTCGAATTGATGTACTGTAAGGTCTTTTGGATATCCTAAAACTTGGTGAAAGAGAAGCTTCCAAGATAGGAAAAAAGAATTTTCTTCCGACAAGTTTTACAAGTGGTCCGAGAGATATGCGTCAACTTTATATGGATGCTATTGCAACATTTTGGAAAGCCTGATATATTTTTAACTATGACATGCAACCCATGTTCGCCAGAAATAAAAGAACATTTGCTCCCAACTGATGAAACTCAAAATAAGCTTGATTTAATTAGTCGGTTATTTAGAGCAAAGGTAGAAGAGATGAAAACAGATTTATTAAAAAGAAACATATTTGAAAAAGTTGCAGCTTTTATGTACACTACAGAATTTCAGAAACATGTTCTTCCACATGCTCATTTTCTTCTTATACTTGCTGATGACTACAAATTATTAACACCTGAAGCTTACGATAAATTTGTTTCTGCTGAGCTGCCTGATGCTGATAAAAACTCGTACTTACATAAGCTTGTTATTAAACATATGATGCACGGGCCTTGTGGTCATTTGAATCCTATGAATTCATATATGTAGAAGAAAGAGTGCAAATTTAAGTATCCAAAGAGCTTCGCTACTAAAACAACGAAAGGTAACTCATATCCAATTTATAGAAGACGTAACACTGGTAAATATGTGAAAGTTAGAAAACAATTTCTTGATAACTCATAGGTTGTTCCTTACAATCCTTATCTCTTGGGCAAATATAATTGTCATATAAATGTAGAGGTTTGCTCTGATATTAAAGTTGTCAAATATATATACAAATATATTTGTAAAGGACATGATAAGATTTCATTTGGCTTACATGAAAATAACACAAATATAGAAAAAATGAGATAAAAGAGTATCAATCTGCTAGATGGGTATCACCTCCAGAAGCTATGTGGCGGTTATTTGCCTTTCCTATCAGTGAAATGACTCCAAGTGTTTATTATCTCCAGTTACATCTTGATGGGCTACAATTTGTCTCTTTTAGAAAAACGGACACAATAAATAGTATTGTGAAAAACCCTATGATTAAGAAAACGATGTTGACAGAATTCTTCTTGATGAATGAAACAAACAAAGATGCTAAAAAGCTTAAGTTGTTGTATAAAAATTTTTCACAATATTTTGTATGGTCATCTACTTACAAAATGTGGATTCGACGACAACGAGGTAATGTTATCGGGCGTGTTGTAACATGTCATCCAACAGAAGGAGAAAGATATTACCTTAGATTATTACTAATGAATGTAAGAGGACCAAAATCATATAAATATCTTTTGACAGTAAATGGGATATGTTGTGACACATTTAGAGAATCTGCAGAAAAAAGAGGATTGTTGCATTGTGACAACAACTTAGTTGAATGTATGTCTGAGGCTGCCTGCTATCAAATGCCTTATAGTTTAAGACGTTTATTTGCTACAATATTAGTATATTGCAGCCCTAGAAATCCAAGAGAACTGTGGGAACAACTTGAAAATTCAATGTCTGAAGACTTTAATAGCTTAGCCAATATAACGGCAAAAGATATCCACCTTGCTATCTTGAATCACATTAATGATATACTACATTCTATGGGGCATGATATTAATGAATTTAACCTTGTTCCGGAAACTATCAAATCTTCAAAAATAGCAACTGAAGCAAAGGAAGTGTATTTTGAAAGAAATATCATTGTGAGCGATGAAGATTTATTGTTACATACAAAATTAAATACTGAACAAAAGAAGGCATATGACATCATTCTCCAGAGAGTATTTTCTAACAAATCTGGAGCATTTTTTATTGATGGTCCTGGAAGGTAAGACATTCTTATATTGTGCCTTATTAGCAACTGTAAGATCTAAAGGGTTTGTAGCATTAGCAACAACAACTTCTGGAGTTGCAGCCTCGATCCTTCTAGGAGGACGAACGGCTCATTCACATTTTAAAATTCTGATTAATATCGATGAAAAATTCACTTGTAATATCAGCAAGCAAAGCTCACTAGCATATTTTATTCGTGATGCAAAATTGATTGTTTGGGATGAAGTGTCGATGGCAAAAAAGAATATGATTGAAGCTTTAAATTCTCTTCTAAAAGATATAATGGACACAAATGCGCTTTTTGGCGGAAAAGTAGTTGTATTTGGAGGAGATTTTAGACAAACTCTTCATGTGGTTCAAAGTGGAAAAAAGGAAGATTTCATTCGGGAAAGTATATTGAACTCCGAAATATGGAATGAGCTTGAAAAACTACGATTATCAGAAAATATGCGTGCAAGAATTGATCCTTCTTTCTGTGAATATTTGATGCGAATAAGAAATGGAATAGAAAAGACAAATATAGATAACAAAATAGAAATTCCGAGATCTCTTATTGTTCCTTATATTACTGAAAGACAATCGTTAGACATGTTATTCAAAATAATATATCCCGATTTACATGTATCTTTTCAAAATTATTCTTTTTTAACTTCCTGTGTTATTTTGACAACAAAAAATGACTTTGTTGATAAAATAAATAATAGACTTATAACTCAATTTCCTAAAGATGCTAAGACATTTGTTGCAACTGATGAAACTATTGAACCGAATGATCAAAGTCAGTTTGAGGATTTTTTACATTCATTGAACCCTGCTAGTTTTCCTCCTTACAGGCTAATATTGAAAGAAAATTGTCCCATCATGTTATTGCGAAATTTAAATCATTGTGAAGGTTTATACAATGGTATACAATTGATATGTTGTGATTTTAAGAGTCGTGTTATAAGCGCTCGAATTTCATGTGGTGATTTTAAGAATACACATGTATTTATTCCTAGAATACCATTACTATCTTCAGATGATGAAAAGTTACCTATCCCATTTAAAAGAACACAATTTCCTGTACGTGTGTGTTTCGCTATGACGATAAATAAAGCACAAGGACAAACATTAGATTATGTTGGCAAAAAGTGCCAAGACCACAGAAAATATTGGAATGGATCAAGTACGAGTGTAAATATAGATGCATTGATATTATAAAGAGAGGAAAACATATCAATGACACAAACTGGATAGAAGTCTTGCACAAACATGCAAAGTGTAGTAGTATAGATTCAAAATGTATAAATGAATGAAGGGGAGGAGAGATACAGATTCATAGGATGGGATTGACTGACTAGGTTCTGTTATGGAGTTTTGATGACTGTTTGATAGATGTAAATGTATTTGTTTCGTGGTGATTAATTAAACTTTTTATTTCCACCAAAAAAGTCTATGCTATCTGTATATGCTTCTTAGTGTTAGTTGATGACTGTCACAACTCCTTTTTCCGCCACCGCGAGAGTGCGTAGGGGAGTTTTCTCCAATTAAAGGACAGTCGAAACGGGATTTGTTTGTTTGTTTCAGAGTCGCCACCTGGGAATTTTAAGGCGTCCCAAGTCACCGGTTTTAATCCCTGAATCGAGGAGAATATGACTCTGTCTATTTAACAGTCTGCGCACCAGAAATCCGGATAAGGAATTCTGTTAACCCGGGAGAAGGTGTTAGGCATTCCCGAGTTCCGTGGTTCTAGCACGGTCGCTCAACTGTTATATTCGGCTTGATTATTTTGATTTGTAAAATACATTTTTATTGCATGATTTTATTGTTACCGCTTCTATTTAGATTTAAAGACCCTTCTTTGAATCGAATCACGCGTACGTATATTCGTGTTATAAATTATATTTTTTTTTAAAAACATGCGGAGTTGTGTCCCGCGCACGTGTACACAATAATATAGATAATATTTTTATTATAATAATTATTTTCGAAATTATGCTTTAATAAAATCAAGAACATTTGCCATTTTTGTATAATTAAGTAGTGCACCTCACATCTCGGGTTTTTTATGAAATTAATAATGATATTCTCCGAGGAATCCCTTTTATTAAATATTCGATCGAAGTTGCGCGAACGCATANTGCGAACGCATAATCCGAATTGCTTTTAGAAATATAATCAGGTTACGCGAACGTATCTCTAATCACAAAAATATTCTTGATAAGGTTCTCTACAAATTGTTATTATGTGTTGACCGCGAGCCTTGTTTTATACATATGAATCATATA